TTGGTCATTACCTGCTCATTGTTTATTTAAATATAAAATCCCCAGAGAAAACAAACTGCACTTACGTAAATGATAATCTTGGGGAAAAAAATTATACTTTGAATACTTTACTTTACATGAAGATTATACATGATAATTCAATATATGTATAATATCCCTAAAAATATGTGAAAAATAAATAATGATACAATTTGATCTGACTGTAGGAAAAAGAATACAAAAGAATCTACTTTATGAAATATTTTGTTAATGGTTATGATTGCGAACAATTTAGATTAATTTTAACATTTCAAATTTATTTATATTTTTATGTAAAATTTTAATAATAATTCCATAAAAATTAGATCTAACAATTTTAATTCAATAGTAGTTGAAAAAAAAGAAGAAGAAAAGATTAATATCTTATTAAAGATTCTTCCGTTTGCAGATATACAGGCAAATTGTTTTCTGCTCTCCGTGGATCTGCCTAGTGCCTACAACATTGCATTATCAAATCATCAAATTAAAAGCTAAAAAGGATTACAACACAAAAAGCCTCCCAATTAGTCATGAAATCATATTAGCTTCATCCACCATCATTGCTTGATATTTGCGTACCTGAACAAATGTGTGTTAGGACATGACATCAGAAAGGAAAAAGTGAAGAAAACATTTGTAGAGAGAAAAAAAACTCAATAGATGCTAGCAGATACGTATACTCTTTCTGTCCCTAATGTAAAACCTACTTAGAGAGTTGATGTTGACCAATATAATAAATCTTTTTTGATATTCATCAACTTTTTTTTAAAATTAACCCTATTAATATTCCTTTAATAATAATCAAGTAGAAGGATAGCGAGGGAATTAAAAGAAATGTTTAGAGTGTTCTAAAAAAGAAATCATATTAACTAATTTAATTAATTTTTAATCTACTTAAATTAGTTAATTAGTTTTTACATTAAGGACTGAAAGAGTATATATATTTTTGTTTTTTTTTTCAATTAATGTATGAATCTATAATCCATAAATCCATAAGCTGAAGACTAAATCCAGTAAATCAGATTCTTGGGAAGTCATCAATCTCGCGGAGATGGACTACTCTACCACTTAGAAGATAAATAAATGAGAATCAGAATAGATAAAAGAGTAATAAAAAAAAAATCACATAAAAAGAAATGGAAATCGCAATATTCCATTCAAACACCTAAGAAGTTAAAATCATAGGGAAGGAAAGTAATGTTTGATATGGTATTTTGTAAATATAGTTAAATAACAAAAATGTCCTTGTACAAAAAGTTTTATTAAGAAGTTATCAATTGACAATAACAAGTGTTGAATAGTAAATGACAAGAAATGTATTGGCAATGACAAGTTTGGTAGTTTTTTTTAAAAAAAATCTGATACAAGGACATTTTAGTCATTTAACTACATTTGTAAAATATCAGATCGAGCACTACTTCCTCTTTTGAAATTTTGACTTTTTAGATACCTGAATTGAAATATTGTAATTTTCAACTCTTTTTTATGTCATTTTCCCTAAAAGTAAAACGACTCTAATGAGAATTAGAGACTCCTAATAATTCATTAATAATAAAGTAAAAGGAAAAGATAGAAAAAAGAGTATGAAAATAAAATAAAATTTGCAAATATTACCTTGATTTTAGTCACAGAAATCACAGTTGAAGCAGTAACGAGGAAGCTGGCAGGCAGCAGCGAATCGAAGCATCATCACACGGGTTTTTTTTTTTTTTTAATTCCACCCTTATAGATTTATCAGCTTTTAATTACTCTTTCGGTCATAAATATAAGATTTATTTGTAGTGGGTTTTGTATTTAAGGTAAAGGAGTGCTTTTTTAAATAGAAAATAAAAATATATATATAATTGGATAAAAAGATCATAGTGCAATGCTTCTAATATCTAAGCGACTGCCCGTGTCCCAAAAAAAAAAAAAAGATCATTAGCGCATTAAAGGGAACTAAATTGAGCATCCAATGACATTTTCTACTTCAATTTCTCCAAAGAAAGTCAGAAACAAATCAAGATTGAACATAATTTTTTCACGACGATAAAAGTAATGAGTTAATTTCTTATCAACTAGACTAATTTGATTGACGAAAGAAGAACAACTGTCTGGCTGCTTTATATCCTTGTGCCTTCGTGCCGCCTATACTGGTTAGCCCGCAGGAGAGCAAATCTGAACTTTGGGAGTCCCCCTAAGTTCATCATCGGTACTAGCAAGAGGCATATTAACCTTTGAGTTTCGTAGCTTTGGATCAACAAAGTATCATTTGGTAGGACTTATCTCTTATGTTTAAGGCTTTCTCCTCTTTATCAACAAAGTATTATAATGTTAATATTTGATAATATTTTATTAACATTTAAGGTTTTAATGTCATCGCTTTTGTTATGTAAAAATTAAACTTAATATTTTAATATTTGATAATATTGTATTAATATTTAAAATTTTAATGTCATCATTTTTATTAATAATTTTATGATTGAAAGACTAAAACTATACTTTTTAAAGTTAAAAAACTAAATGTACATTTTTATAATATTGTAAATAATTTTCTCTATCTTTTTTCTACCGCTGTAATGTAAAATATTTTCATTACTAATATTATTATCTTTTTCTTTCAACCCAAAAAAAAAATACAAAAGAAGAGTAAAGTGTACTGCCTCGTAAGTTTTGTTTGTCATCACGTTTAAAATCACTTATAAATATATTTTATGTAAGTTGAGACAAAATTTTTCTCATATATTTACTTTATATTTTGTATATCACAGTTAAAAAATTATTTATAAACTATAATGGAGATAGATAAAGCGAGAATGAAGGCACTGTGGCTTCAGGTATTTTGATAATTGCTTTTACTGTTGATAGCACGGTCCCAAAACAAAACATATTCATTCACAAGTGATCACATATTATTCGTTTGTGCACAGCCAGCGGCGCGAGAGAGATGTCAGCAAGACAGCGATCATTGCGTTTAACATGGGACTCAAGCTACAGTTGATCACATCAGCTTCGTTGTCGTAGTCTCACTGAGAGGAATATGATAAGGAACATTTAAAAGTCAAATAAAGCAAGCTTATCAAGTATTGACCTCACTCTACGCTCAACGCTCTGGTGAGAGTGATTCCCATGGCGTCTTCGATTCATGCCTCTCTGTCCGCCTTCAATCTATCTGGTCAAAACCCTACTCGGCGCCTCTCCTTTCCTCATCAGATTTGCGGTAAGTTCTGTTCTTTCGGTGCCCCCTTTTGAAAATCCACTCATTTCAGGCTAAATTTCTTGGCTTTCATGGAATCTTGAGTCACATGGCAATTGGATGCTTCTTGGTTTGTCCATAGTTAATAATAAGCCTATGAATGAGTCTCTATGCTTCAGTCATGGATCTATTAGGCGAATTCTGATAGAAATCGACTTTCATTTCTTTCTTTTCACATACAGTTGTTGATATGACAGAATAGAACTTTCATTATTTGGGAGTTGGATTTTCCAATTGCTATATTCAAATTCATCTCTAGTGCTATTTTGTCTGCTTTAAATTGTCTATAGTGCTGCCTGCAACATTCGTTATATTCTTTCATTGCAGTTGCGATACTGAATTTGATTGAAAATTACTGTATAATTTCACGAATTGTAATTATTTTGGGTTGCCATTCAGTTGTTTCGCAGAACAATATATCTAACTTGAAAGCATCCAAGCCACTGAGACTAGATGCTAAATGTGCGAGAGTAATGGCCTCAAGGAGTGTGTCCCAAGCAAGCAGAGCTGCTACAACAGAAGACGTTCTAGAGTGGGTCAAACAGGACAAGCGAAGAATGCTTCATGTTGTATATCGTGTTGGGGACTTGGAGAGGACCATCAAGTATATCATGACACATACATACATACTACTCATTACTAATGCAGTATTCTCTTGAATCAACACCGTAACGTTATTATTGAAGGAAAAAACTACCTGGCAATTTCAGATTTTATACAGAGTGCCTGGGAATGAAGCTGCTGAGAAAACGTGATATACCAGAGGAGAGGTATACGAACGCCTTTCTTGGATATGGACCTGAAGATGCACAGTTTGTTATTGAACTGACATACAGTAGGTGTCTGAGAATATTTTAAGATCTGTGAAACTACAAATCCTGAACCACCTGATATTTGATAGATATGAAGTTTTCCTCTTTATTATTGTTATCTAATTATGTTTCAGATTATGGAGTTGATGCATATGATATTGGGAATGGATTTGGCCATTTTGGCATTGCTGTTGATGATGTAAGTTTGCGTAACTTGTCCTCTCTATCTTTTATGAGCATCTTTGATTTCTCATAATGCGTTCAGTTCTGATTGTTTTTTATACCCCTCATGTATGCACTAGTCCGTAGCTGCGCCTATCTGGTTTGTCCTCCACTCCTCTTAGGGATGTGTTGGGGATTTGTGGCACAGTTGTTATTATTATTATTCAGAATCCTTTCTCTTGATGCTAAAGAAATGTCTAGGATGGACTTCTTGTCTTTTTAATTCTCACTATCCTCTATTAGGTTGAAAAGACTGTAGACCTCATTAGAGCTAAGGGTGGCAAAATAACTAGAGAGCCAGGTCCTGTTAAGGGAGGCAGCACAATAATTGCTTTCATCGAAGATCCAGATGGATATAAATTTGAGCTTTTGCAAAGAGCTTCCTCTCCTGAGCCTTTGTGCCAACTAATGCTTCGCGTAGGTGATCTTAATCGTTCCATAGAATTTTATGAGAAGGTGAGGTGAACGCTATTTTATGTCTGATTTAACACCTTATGATTTTCTTTACACTGGATTTAGTCATTTCCATGGTTGCTTATCATTTAGGCTTTTGGTATGGAACTTCTTCGGACACGAGATAATCCTGAGCAAAAGGTATCTTTCCTTTCTATTATGTCAATTAATGGCATGATCTGTAGGTGGCATGCCTAATGGCCAAGAGGTAAGATTATTAGAGTCTATATCAGATCATGGGGCTTTAATGCCCAAACTATAAGATACTGTTTCATCTGTATAAAAAAAAAAAAATTAAGCTTGAGGACAAGAGATAGGTCATTGTTCAGATACAAATAATCGTATCAGTCCTTTGAGATGATGCCTTGCATGAGTTCAAACTTTTAAAAGTAATATTCGTTAGTTGTATTTACTATTCATTTTAGGCATGTTTGTTATTCTTCAATAACTTGTTTTGTACATCATTGTCATAAAATGTTACTTTACCTTCTAGCCTATTGTTTACTGTGGTATACTGAATCAAAATATGACTCAAGATAGAATGGAAGGATTTTTTATTCTTTTTTTTTAATTTTATTTGAATTTCAATTTATATGTGATAAAATTGTTAGGCTCAGCAGGTGTTAACTGGGGAAATTTGGCTCCTTTATGAGCCGTCAAGATCTTGCACATTGCTGGTGCCCCTTGTGGCTGTGGCAATAAAAGAAAAGTCCCTTGAATTCACCAGCGACTAGGAAATACCAGCTGCTGAACAACTAACGGACTTTCCTTGGTTTGAGGATTTTGTGATTTCCCAAAAGTTTCACCGAAAAAAAAAAGACCAAAAGTTAATTATGAGAACATATCTTATTGGCCTTTTTCAAATCCTTATTCATAATCTTGCGCAGGTCTTCTGTTCTAACTTCTAACAAGTTGGCCTTGATTTTGTTCTGCTTTATATTTGGTTTGAAATGTCTGTATGATGTGCTTTGCTTTCAAGCCCTGAATTGAACTACAATGCTTACATTGCATCTTGCTTTCTTTGGTGGAACCAATTTTTTTTTCCATCTCCTTATTTAATACTTTCATTCACTTGGTTTCCTTTAAATTGTTTTTCATCCTTCAATGTTTTATTTTATTTATTTAATTATTTCTTTTGCCTTTGGTAGTATACCATTGCAATGCTAGGTTATGGTCCTGAAGATACGAGTGCTGTCTTGGAATTGACTTACAATTATGGAGTCACTGAGTATGATAAAGGAAATGGTTATGCTCAGGTTGGTAGAACTACCTTTAGTTCTTTAACACTTTTTAAATCTGCTAAAGTTTTTTTTTTTAATGTATAATTACTTGCTATTATGCGTATACTCTATTAAGATATTAGATTTTATTTTTTTTATGAAGTATTAACAGAAATATATAGGGCTTTGTTATCAGATTTCTTCAAACATGTTACCTATCAGTTCTTTACTGACCGTTTCTTGCCATTCATTTGAAGATTGTTTTTTGTATTTAGTCATGTTCTTTTATTCTCCCTTTGCAGATTGCAATAGGTACAGATGATGTTTACAGGACTGCCGAAGCTATCAAACTTGTTGGAGGAAAGATTACTCGGGAACCTGGACCATTACCTGGCATCAACACAAAAATAACAGCATGCTTAGATCCTGATGGTTGGAAGACGGTATAGCTTTTTAGATTTTATGATTTCTTTTTCCCCCGCAATATTATGAAACCATGGTACCCGCAGTAGTGATATTGAAATGGGTGAAATCATTAGGACATCAAACTCACCTTTTTATATTTTCATTAAATCTTATCAAATGAAGTAGTTGGTATTCTCAATGCATATCAGGACTACTAGGCATGTTTGTAATCAGATTTGGAGAAAAATCGGGATTTGTGTTTTGTGTTTTCTGGCCTTCACATCAATAATAGGCGTTGTGCAAAATATAGTGAAAAATTTTCTTACCAATTAAACCTAGTTACATTTTGTGAGACATAGCAATGTTTCCAAAGGTTATAGAATTCTGAATCTCATTTCACAGTGAATGTGTGTAAGTGGAAGTATTCCATTTGATGACAATGGATTTTGGGATTGGGAGATAATGAGTGCTAGTATTCCTGCTCAAGAAACAACTGAAGAAGACAGAAATCCAGAACCAACTCAATGCTAGGAGTAGGAGAGTTCTGAAGAAACTAAGGAAGAGAGGGAAGGACTCTGGAGTCAGAATCGGAAATCTTATATTATGGCTCTGAAGTATCTTGAATGATCTTAGGATGCATCAACACAGGGCTACCAAGATCCTATTTGACAATGAATCAACCATGGCCATGATGAGGAACCCAGTGTTCCATGACAAGACAAAGCATATCAAGATAAAATACTATATTAAGTCCTTAATATAAGACCCAGATGACTGATATGGGAAGATTAAGGAAGTTAAATAAATTACTTTAAAGTATTATATTTATCGTTTCCAAACTAATTTGTTGGGCTTATAAACTGATACATATAATTTAATATATATAATTTAATAATACACATAAAAGATTATGTAACATATATTATAATTAAGTAATTTTTTTTAACTTAATTGATTTCTTCAAATTAGTCAATTAGTTCTTATATTAAGGACTGGAGGTAGTATCATTTTATAAGGAAGGCAATGAAAGAAGACGAGATACAGATCTTTCATTGCAGTGCTGAAGATCAACTGGCCCATTTTTTTACCAAACCTACGTAGAAACTAGGGTTTCAAGCACTTAGAAATTTGGAATGGTAGCAAACAATTGCATCAAGGAGGAATAATATATTGTCCCAAAAAAAGAAGCAAAAGAATTGCATCTTACTATATGCTAAATAATCTTTACACCTTTGGTTGATGCTAAATACTGATTAACCAAAGGTTCCTAGTGTTCAGCTGAACTTTCCCTCCCAAAAAGCAATGTCAATACATGCTTTTCTTGTTTAGGATTATATCTGAGTACAGCTGACATGTTAGGCTGTATTTCTTTATTTTGATAGATGTTAAGTCTTATAATGCTACTTCTTTAAGCTGTAATTTTTTGTGCCTATATAGATGTGTGAAGCAACAGAACCAAAGTTTCTGCTCCTAAGTTTTTCTTGCCTTCCATCTTGATTTTTCCTATTTTTCTTCAAAATCCAAACGGCAATGCTTATGAATTAGAAATCTCAAAATTTGGCAACTGTCTCTAAGGGAGTGTTATTGGGCTTCATTCTCTCAACCTGGTGAAAGTCAATTATTTTCACATGGATATGTTGAATAACTGCCAAATAAGTACACCTGCCTAAGCCCTGCAACAGCCACCAGCTCCCACGCTACTTAAATTGTTCATTGACTTCGTTCATTTCCATCTTCTGTTTATTTCTCATTTGGTACTTTCTTATGCACGGTAGAGATCTCTAGTATATTTTTGAACTATACTTATTTCAGATAATCAAGTATTTTATTTAACTTCTTGTACTTCTTTTCTATTGTGCAGGTTTTTGTAGATAATGTTGATTTTGTTAAAGAGTTGGAGTAGAGTTTCTGATCTTGGTCTTTGCAATCTTGAGAGACTGACGTCAAGTCACTGGCAAATCAAAGATAATCTTGATTTAAGCTGCTTGCAGGCTTGCACGATACAATGTACCATATTCAAATCCGAGTTTTGTAGATAGTTTATTAATGATTATAGCAATGACCAGAGTAGCCAATTTCTTTACCTTTATAAAATAAAGCAAGTTAGTTTGAAGCACAAATCTCTTTATTTCTTCATTTTATGTACTTTTAACGATTTTATAATAGTACAAATTGTCTAAATTTCACATTGGATATTTCATAATAGTATTCTCACAATTTCTTGGCCTTTCCTACCTTGAGCGTTGTTATAAGGAACTTCAGTATTCTGAAATAAGGATTTAAGTGAAGTAATTTTTTCTTTTTTTACACATTGAAGTTTAGGTGAGTTGGATCTTTAGGCATCACAATGATCAGTGCATGTCTCTAAACTCAAAGAACGTTTAAAAAGATATTTACAAATCGCCTTATCAGCAAGACTCTTACATCGGTAACAAGATTTGAACTCACAATCTTATGTATTATGAGTTAATTCCTTACTAATTAGACTAACTTTTATTAACAGGATTTAAGTGAAGTAATAATGAGATAGAAATTCACTCCCCCCCAAACCCCAACACGCGCACACACACAAAGTTGTATGTAATTCAGGGGATGTTAATGGTGTATTTGCATTTTGCTAATTATCAGGATTATCTGAAATCTCAATCAGAAAACAACACGTGGATAAATTGAAGTCACTTCATTACATGATATTGAAATCCTGGGGAGAGAATGAAATAGTTGCTGGTAAACCCTAATGATGCATGACTGGGTCTTTAATGCTAGCCAAAAAAACACAATAATAAAGAGGTTGGGGAGGTAGATCAATGACTGTGTTCACAAATTCTGATCTGACCAGATCTCAGTACAACTACAGCATGATATTCTCTGAATTATAGTTGTTGTTTTTTTGACTTTTGAGAACAGAGGATGTAATACATATCCCATTGACAGGCACAAACAAATGATTACATACTGCCCAGTAAGGAGTTGACTTGATATATATATATATATATATGTGATCATTATTAAGTGAAGGAGGTTTGTTCGGGTGAATGATAAGCAGAAGCAATTAATATTCAATCTAAGCCTTGTTTTACTGTGATGGCCTGGCATGATCATGATTAGCAATGGCAGATGAATTTCAGGGCTGGCCGGAAGAGACAGATTTGATTTCCATTCATAGTTTTGCTTTAACCAAACTTTCTTTCCTTTTCCTTTTAGCCTCTCTGTTAATGGTAGGTGAGAATCTGCCTGCTTGTCTGGTCCCCCCTTTATGGCCCCCTCTACATTTAAAAGGCCCTATGTAGTTTGTAATGAGTGTTTGTGAGTTTTGCCTTTCCCTGAGGTCTTGGGGAAAAAAATTGAAGAATTAGCTTTGGCTAGGCCCTCTTAGAGCCTTGGCTTTAAATGGTTTGCATGCCTTGGATAGGCCATCTGTGTACTTCTCTCTTTATGTTTGTCTATCAAAATGTTTCATTTGCATCTTCCCGTGAAGATGCATGTGAGAGTATCATGACCATTCTACTTAATTTTGGTTCATCTTTCCATTTGAATTTTTGAAAATAAAGTGCATGTGAAAGTTATCATAGGTAATAAGGTAAGCGGTGAGAAAATCTATAAGATCCACTTCTCTTTTACTCGTTTTCTTTCTTATAATTCTCTTAATTTAAAGTAAATGTTTCATGATTTTTTTTACTTTTTCTTATTATTTTAGTGATTATTAAAGATGTTTGATTCGCAAGATATAAAAGAGAATAAAATAAGAAAAAGTAATTTTTTTGGATAAAAATAAAAAAATACTTAAAATCAAATAATTGTTATTGAGTTTTGATGTTGAGAGAAAATAGAAATTGCACACCTTGAATTTCGTACAATGGAATGGAATCTGATTCCATTATTATCAAAGCTACCAAAAGTTACACTTTATTGGTCAAAAAATGGAGGAAAAAATATATTCTGACCCATATTTTTAGTTAATATTTTTTTTTGACAAACAATATTTCTAATAAGTCCATGTATCTCTCTTAAAAGTGTATGAACTTAACTAATTGGATTTTTTTTTCTTTTAAAAAACATGCAAATAAACCTAAAATTTTTGGTGCTAATCATTTCTACTATGGCTACACATCATGGAAAAACAGCAAGATTCTGGTAAAACCACAGAGACCATACTGGAAAAGAGCAGTGTGGTAGGATGGGGCCATATAGCCATACCCATATTTCCCAAAGTTTTTTTTTTGGCACAAAAGAAAGGAATAACTAGCGACCTGTTTTTTTTCCCTGTTTTCTGAATAATTTATCTTATGAAAAACCAAAAAAAAAAATCAGAATATGTTTTTTTATATTTTGTTACTTTTTCTTCTACAAAACTAACTTACAACATTGTAATTTCATTAATGCAGTGAAACAAATTATTTTTTACCCTTCACTTTACCATTATAGAAATGTTTTTCAAAATAATGATTCAAAAAGATTTTTTGTAAATTTTCTGTTTCCAAAGTTTTATCTAAAAAAATTACCCCACAAAATTATTCTAATGACACAGAAATAGAGAACAGAGCCAAACATGGCCTAATTCTCTCTCAAATTTCAGAGACGAGGGTCCAAAGGAATTATGTGATGTTAATAATTACCACATTACTTTCACTTTTTGCATTTTCTTCATTTTGTACTGATGACTTAGTAACGGTCGTCATTATGGCACTTACTGAACCAGAGGACACTGATTTTTTTTTTTATTTACTTTTTTATTTTGGCTTTTATATATCGCCACCACCTTCCTTCTGTCTTCTACATTAATCTTCCTCAAACTCCAAACAAATGGATGGTAACACAGAAAACTCAAAGCTTCCTTTTATTGCAGAAAATCATCACTGCTTATCTCCTTCTAACCTCTTTCATAAAACCCCACCTGCCCATTTCAGCAATCTCTATCCTATGTTCTCTACAATAGGGAAGTTCAACAAGCTCCAAAAAGAAACTACTCAGAAAGCAGATTCTTCTATGGCATGTGAAGAAGAAGATGAAGCTTTTTCTGGGGATTATTCTTACTATGATGTTGCAGCTAGTGAAAGTTGCTGTGCTAAGTCAGACACAGATTCTTGCAGCCAAGTTGGTGATGCAGATGAAGATGAAGATGATGAGGAAGAGGTGAGTTTGGTTGAGTTGTTGCAGAATGATGCGAAGGCCAAAAAGAAAATGGAGGTTTTGGCTGAAATGGTTGGAGTTGACAGTACAGAACCAGGGGCAGTGTTGACTGAAGTTGTGAGAGTTCTGAAGCACTTAAGGAGGATGAGCCGGTTTTAATTAACAAGGGCTTATATCTGTGTGTGTGTGTGTGGTGGTAAGAATGTTCAGTTCTTACCTGTTGAAATGCGACTGTGTAATTTCTGAATTTGAGAAATTCTCTTTCTTGCCTTCTCTATCTATCTGCATTTAATATTTTTTCCCTGGTTTACACTTAGTTTATAAATTGATAAGGGAGGTGACACTCGAGGTTTGAAGGAAAATAAATCCTCTACAACTTTTCATTACTCATGTATGAGAAAGAAATTGCTTCTTTACAGAGGTAGAATCAGGATCACCTGAAGAGAAAGTTACAGAAATTTGATATGAGAAAAATTAGACATTTTAGTACTATAAGGTTGTGTTTGAAGATCCATTTGTAAACTATGGATTCAAATCCAGCTTTGCACTTGTTGGAAAAATTGGGGTTTGTAAGATGATGTCACAAAACTTTAAAATGTGTTATTTCAGCTAAATTTGGAAAATGTCATTTTGGGGTTTCAAAATGGACACAAACATGGTTAGCAAATGAACCAAGTTTGCTAAACATCAATCTGAACCTTTAAAAACCAAAATCCAAACATGCCCTTAATTTAGGATGGAAAAGATACTCATATCTTTTTAAAAAGCGATATTAATCTCTAGCAATCATCCAATTCTTAAAACTGGAATACCTTTCTAGATTTTCAAAAAGCTGTTAGAAAAGGAAGTAAAAGATACAGCAGTTTTATGCCCCCCCAAAAAAAAAAAAAAGAAAAGAAAAAACAGTCCCAACCATTTCCTCCTTTCTTCTGGGTTGTCCAAGAAATCATTTTCCCATCAATTTGTTGAACAGAAAATCACTCATTAATGCCGAAGCAAAAGTTGCTGAAAGTTTCTATGAACATCATGAGAATTGAAATACAAGCTATATAGGGACATTGGGTTAATTATAAGAGTTGACTAAAAGTAACTCCAACAAATGCCCTTTGAGTGAAAACATATTGTTTTCTTTTTTCTTTTTTTTATTTGTTTGAGTACGTGTGTTTGTGTTTTCTCGGGGCAACGGGATGAAGTCGATACTAATCATGGATGGAAAATAAAAAAATTACATTAGGAAAACTCTCCCATTCGAATCCGACCATCAAATTTGATATGGCAACACCGACCGTCAAATAATCATAGACAGTATAATGGTAATTTTATAAATAGAATATGCCTTTTATCTCGTTGAATAGAAAATAATTATAATTAGAATTAAAAAATAAGAAGTGTAAATATTCTAGCAAAATAATACATACATACCTCGATTATTGTACAAAAAAATAAAATCGCCCTTCTTTTATGACTAGCAAGCAGAACCTAGCATAAAGAGAAACTAATTGAACCCACCACTTAAGATTTTAATTATCAACAGTGACTTTAAACTGAAACAACCGTCTATTAGTATTTTTTTTTTCCCTCTCTCTTTGGAATTATAGGGAAGATTAAACCACAAGCTCTTGGTAAATCTTTATGCAACTTAGGTCATTGACACCCGTATGGTAGTTGCTTTCAAATTTGGCTTACAATTTATTTTACAAGCAGGTATTTGACCCAAAATTTTTTTTTACGAGCAAGGAAATATGCTGCGTCTGAAATTGTACTGACTTGGACTTGAATAGCCAAAAAACCCTCCGAATAAGCCGTACGCCTTTCCATCAAGTCATCAACCACTTCTTCAACATGATAAGCTAGTATGGGATAGGCTGGGTTGTCTTCCGAGTTTACTTTACTTCGTATGCATCTTAAAAGAATAGAACCAGAAAGATCAGGAGACAAATCTGGCCCGCATAGAACAATTATGACAACGAAAGGGCATGAGCAACATAAAGTTGTGGGTAATCTTACTTACCAACGGATCCCCAAGCACCAGCTAATCTAAGAGTAATGATCACCATAAAAACTGAATCTTGCTCATTGCTTGCCCCCTGAGAGTTGCCCAGATCAGCACTGAGGGGGAGTTTGGGAACCCTTTAGAAGCACTAAAAAAAAAGAAAAACTTTTATGTAATTTGAAACAAAATTCCTCACATACTTACCTGGAGCGCACCATAAAATTTTGAAAAGCAAATCCAAACGCCCCTTAAACAGAATGAGAACACATCTAATAATCTATTAATAGAAATCACAGATCAAGTTTTCAGAAGACCTGTGGCAACCAGCGTTCATGCCAAAAACAGCTGTTATGCTCATTACAAAGCCCCAGACCTCATAAAGCAGTTAAACGACAATCCAATCTGGCACAGAAAATCCTTGAACTTGGCTGAAATAAACCCAGCCTCTATTCATTGGTCTCGAGAGTGAAGATACAAATTAAACAGGCCAAGTGTCAGAGTATGTGCACCTACAAGTAAATAAGTTCTTCTGGATCATCTTGGTTGTATTAAACAAAAAAGTTACAGCACGCTAAGTTAATAAAGTTAACATTAATCTAAATGAGCAAATATCTAATCTTTCTAGCAACTAATGATATCATATTACAAAATTTGACACAGCATGCTGGAATATTTCTTTAAATAACAATATCAAGACAATAACCAAGATGATTATCAAAATAGCGAGACAAGGCTCTTGATAATTGAGCACTAAAATTAAAGACCAGAAAGAAGTTAAGTATTTTTGTGATTGCAAAATAAAAGCACCAAACCTTTGATATTTCTCAGAAAACCATTATTTCAGAGATCTTTCAACCAAAACTTTTGCCTCAGAATTGGTATTGTTTATATTCTTGAGAACCTGGTCACTGACAAGAAATTGCAACCGACCAAAATGAGAAGCAAACGATGTGATAAGAATAGCAGTAAAAAGGAGAGACAATCAGTAACATGCATGAGATTCAGTTTAGTTTCCCAGTTCTAAAACTAAATGTATGGATGCTTCATAACTAAATAAATGGGCAATTGAACTAAAAGTATATTGCTTCTTATTTAAACGAGGAAACTAAAATAACGAGGTAAAAAATGAATAAGCATCAAAGACAGAGGCTGCAAAAAAAAATATTGATAAAATAAACTAAAAAGAAAATGGTCAAATACACCTGCGATACATAATATTGTTGATCAATCTTTAACGACTGGGTCACAACTTGTCACATGAAACAAGAAAAATAACTGTTAAAGTAAGGAGAGGGAGCAACTCTCATACATTAATGTTACATAAAGAGATGAATACACAGCAACAGGATCATGGTGGTCCACGTTTCAAATATATGTACAGCACAGAAGCCAAGCCAGAGCAGTCTATATTTCTTATAATGACCAATTATTTGCAGTCCGAAAGTAGCGTGTGGTCTTAAAGGAGAATTGATGCAATTTATCATCTTTGCCGCACAGTTACAGTCTCCATCAATTGATCACCAAAATATTTTTTTTAACAGCCATTTGAGGAATATACGCCGAATCCACACATTTGCAGCTTCAAATATATGCTGAGTCTTCATGACCTGATTCAAAGCTGGAAATACAGCATAATATTATCAGTCAAGGATAAGGGTAACATAAAGATCATACACAACAGAGAGAGAGATATTCTTTTTTTTTTTTTTGGGGGGGGGGGGGTTAAACAAGAAGTCTACCATATAGATCATTCATTTGGCAGAAGATATGCGTTGCAGAGATGAAATCCAGCTACTTGAAGGACCAATCTTACTGCCTTGGCCACGAACAGGGTTTGCAGCTTCAGTGGTCAAGGCGGGCTTCAGGAATTTCCTTTTTGAGGTACCAGCATGTGAATATGAAGTAGAAGGCATTTTTGCTTCTTCAAAAATCTACGAAAAAAGGGGAATATGTACTAAAGACTAGTTTTTTTTTTTTTCCTCCAATAATTTAGAAACATAATAATAAGAAACCATAAAAGTGCGACTTCAGATTTGCACAAGTCACAAGTCACAAATCACAACAAAAAAGCAAAAAATAAAAATTCTACTCAAATATGGTGACTTACATTCTTTTCAACAGGATTACCAACACCCACATTTTTTCCTGCTGTTGATTTAAACTGCATCTTAACACCAGAACCAGTAGCATTGCCAGATCTAATGTGCTCCGATACATCCCCTGAATAAGCATAAACACCTGATATTTGGTAAGAGCAAAAAAGTTTTAAAAAAAATTCAAGACATTTGATTGCAGCTTTAAAACCGAACAAAAAAGTGGGCTGCTACTTCACCCATCTTCCTTGATTCACTAAGTGAAAATTGAAATCAAATTAAAGTCTAACAACAATACACATAAAAAAGAAACAAACATGTCAAAGCTTTATCGTGTTGTTGTTGTTGTTCTCAAAAGAAACATGCATTGCTCAGGCATTTTTTTCCCTTGAAAAACAATTGATTAAATGATAATTAACAAAACTATCAATTTCCCCTATTTATTTGGCGCTTCACATAAATTCATTTCTTGATAGGTTAGCAACTGAAAATCACATAATTAATTTAAAATGCACAAAGAGATAAATAACATCTAACCATGGGAATTGTCAACAACCGTTGGCATTGCCTGACTTCTGCGTGCTCCAGGAGCTGGCTGTGATATGCCAGAATTGAGCATTGTCAGAAGCATGGTGATATTTATTGGTGTGAAAATCAACCCTAAGAAACTCAAAGAATAACCTGAAGAGAAAATTACTTACAGATGTGTGAGGCTGAACTTTAACCTTCTGTGTCTGTTGGTACTTTAAAATGGTCCAATCAAACACATAATCAAATTCAAAACCTGTCAATGCAAGTTCCGCTTAATTGCAGAGATGAAGACAGAGGTAAAAATTGGAAATTGCACATGTCAATAAAACCAAAGGACCTTCTCACATGCAAGAAATCTTCAAGTGTAGAACACAGTTAGTTATATCGTGTGTCAAAGTAAGCTGTATATGTGTAGGTATAAAGTTGAAGAGTTGTGAAAAATTCTAATGCTCTCAGCAGAAACGACAGAAAAAACATAGAGTATTGTATAAGCTGTTTATCTTCTGAAGAATCCACATTATTGTTATATTCATTTTCCCATAATTTGGGCAAAACCTATTCATTCCTCTATCATTCTATTTCACAGTAAACATTCTTGCTGGAACTCGCATATTAATAATTGAGCTCACAAAGAGCATTTCAACGGCCTGTCAACGCAATTCTGAAATCCATTTGATTACGCATTATTTAAAGGATGAAAAGCATAATCACCTTGTCGAGCAAATAGGTCCCGGAAAAGACGCTTCAAAAACCCATAATCAGGTCGCTGGTCAAATGTCAAAGAGTGGCAATAATGAAAGTATGAAGCAAACTCTACAGGATGAGATTTGCTTAGGACCTTTAAAATTATAACCAAACATCTATCAGGATTAGAAAACCTTCCCAAGGATCCCAACAAAACCAAATTATCGAAAACTCACCTCAATAGGAGTTGATACTTTCTTTTCGCATATTTTATCATACTTTTGCTTCTTTGTTGCAGCCTTTAGACCTTGCCAAGGAAGACTGAACACAAATTCATTGCCATTTAGAAGTTAACAACACCATCCTATCACTCAGTGGATTTTGGAGAAGAAAAACTGGCATATCTAAAGCAGCTAGAGAAGAATGACTTACCTTCCTCTAAGGAAGTACAGAAGCACATATCCTAGTGACTCCAAGTCATCCCGGCGGCCTTGCTCTGCATTTAATATCACCAATTAAAAAGATACAACTATTTTGCAATTTAATTGCGATTGCAGTGAAGAGGATAAGTGACTTCACGCTTACCAATGCCAAGGTGAGTATTACAACTTGCATAACGTGCAGTACCTGTTAAGTTTTTGTTCTCCCTGTATGGTGCAATTAGGGTCAGAAATGCGATTGATAATTTGGTACAAAGGTTACTCTGTACCATCCCAGGGAGAGGAAAGGAGAGATAGTGAAAGGAAAGATTTTCCAGGAAAAGTTTAGAAGTTTTTCATAAACTGATTGATGTAATAGATTCAAATAATCAAACAATTCAAATTGATATACATATAATTCTCTCAATCAAACATCAGCGCCTAAAAGACAATAACAAATAAAAACGAAAACTCAGAATTGAACGTTTAAATACCGGTAAGGAATATGACTTTTGGTTGTGGGATCCCGATATCGTTTTGCAAGCCCAAAGTCAATTACGTAAACCTGACAGATACAAAACAACCACCCATTTAGCACCATATTTAGAACAACAAATAATGGATAGGATGACAGGCCAAGTAACGCGTGATCAGAGAAAGACAGAAACAACAAAATAGTTTTACCTGATTGGCCTTCCGCCCAAGTCCCATGAGAAAGTTATCAGGTTTTATATCTCTATGTAGAAAACCCTTAGAATGAACATATTCTATTCTAGCGATCTGCATATAAGAAATGTTAATATCCCATTGCATAAGCGTCACAAACAAGCTTATGACAGAATTTATAATTTGCAGGACAAATATTAGACAAAGATGAAGTATGCTTGCTTCCAGTGTTTTCAGCTGAACAGATGGGAAGCTAGCAAAGAAGAGATAATATAAATATGTGAGTGACATTGTATGCTGGCACATAAGTGCACTGATAATTCACCAATACACATATTCATCCGCTTTGGAGATTATGCTTAGGCCCCAATTTGCAGCTGTCAAAACGTCATGCCAACTTACCATCTGATCAGCCAACATTAATACAGTCTTCAACGAAAACTTTCTTCCACAATACACAAAGAGATCTTCAAGACTGGGTCCCAGCAAATCAAGAACTAGCACATTGTCCTCCCGGTCTATACCAGACCACCTTATGCTAGGAATTCCATCTGCATCGCACATATGAGGGGCCACAAGCCAATCATTCAGAATCCAGTCACTCACTTATGGAAACGAACACATAGAAAGTCAGAAAGAGATTAAGCAATTAACATTGCAAAACTCATACTTCCTCCTTGAAGAACATGATACAGTTTTGCCTCATAGAGCAGTTGTGGATGCTTAGTTTTAGTGTTCTCCTGCGACATTCCAAAACACAATAGTTAAGTATTAAAACAAACAAAAAATGATAATGTGATAATTCTACTTGACACCAATCTCTCTCTCTATAAATATATATGTGCTCATACCAGTAAGCTAAAGGATACAAGCTAAATAGTGCATGCACGCCTAATCCATCATGCAAACCTGCTCCACCTCAAAAGGGTAGGAAGCCTCTCATATTTAATCGATTGACATGCATAGAGGAACAAGTTGAGACTTACAATTTTAACCGCGACTATCTCAAAAGTATCGACATGAGTAGCTGAAACAGAGTAAGCAAAGTAAACAAAGATAAATCAGTATAAAGCAAGCCAGAACGAGCATTTCCCAAACCAAAAGAAAAAAGAGAACGCTACCGAGGTAAATTTCACCGAAGGATCCGCTCCCGATCTTGCGGCCGAGCTTGTACTTGCCGCCGATGATCCGCTCCATGTTAAATACTTAGAAAAGGTATTTTGGAAACTATCCGCGCATGAAAGAGAAGCTAGAATTCAACAATTCTCCGATCTGAATCTGATAATAGAAAGAAGAAGGCTTTCGGTGACTCTGAGTAACTAATTGCTTGTCTCGTTCGTTCTTCGAACTTCGATGCACAGAGGAGAAACCGAAGCCACACGGGAACGGAGGACGGTAACGAAGGGCATAATAGATAAATGAACTAGGAAGCGAGGCTACTTCTGCCATTCTAGTTGTTGTAAATATCATCCAACCTTCCTCTCAAAAATGGCTCCACTGTCAGGCCCGGAAATTATTAGGACCAGGCCCCAACTGCGCAATCCATACCTTCAAATAGAGAAGGGGGTGTCGCAGTTAGTCACCGGCTACTGCCTCTAATCGCAGTTATAAAATCTCTTTTATAAATTATATTACAAATAATATCTTATAATTATTACCCAAAGTAATAAGATTTAAATGATTCTGAGAAAAATGTTCATGTTTAATAACCCGCAATATCTTGAATATAATTATTTTTAATAAGAAAATACTTCTACTTTAAAAAAAAGTATATTCCAAGTTTGGATTCTTGTTAAAAGATGTGTTTAGATTTAATATTTTTTTGGTTCTAAATATAAATTCCACTTTGTAGTCGGTACTATCAAGCATTAAATATGAACATTTTTCTCATTAAGAATTTAAATTTTATTCGTCACATTGTGAGGGGCTAACCTCTTCGGTTTCGCTGCTAATTATTGATCTTTGTTGATCATGGAGCCTGATTTGAAGAGTTGACTGGGTTGGTGCCTTAGTTTAGAGTGTGCTTTTTTTTTTGCTTTTATCAGGCTTTGTATAGTGGTATTTTTATTTTATAATATAATGCGCTAATAAAAGTGGGCTTCTACAATAAGATGTTCAAAGGGGGGCCACAACTTGCCGCATCTTTGAGCCCATACGCAACACAGAGGCAGAAGCCCCGACTATCGCTCCGACCATCGCTACCGGCGAGACCGAGAACCCTGATGAGTTCCTGAAGACGAGCTAGAGAGAGAGAGGGATGGTGGGGGATATAGAGAAGATGATCGCAGTGGGCCTCGTATGGGGCGCCACGAATGCTGTCATGCGCCGCGGCGCTCTTATTTGGGATCAAGCTCTCAAATCTTCGTCCTCGTCGAAACCACTCCACCACTGTACCACTCTTCCCAAGAGATTTCTATTTTCTCTCAGAAATTGGCTCAAGCTTCTCGCGATCTGGCAGTACACCATCCCCTTCTTGATCAATCTCTGCGCCTCTGCCACTTTCTTTGCTATTCTCAGTGACGCCCCGATTTCGCTGGCCGTCCCCGTCACCAATGCGACGACGTTTGCCGCCACCGCCGTGTTTGGTATGCTCCTTGGCGAAGAAACCCACGTCCCTCGAGCTTTGTTTGGTACGGCTGTTATCATATTGGGAGTTTGGTTATGTATTAGCTAATCAATTTTTTACTTTTGGTTTGTTTGATTGTGAATCTCAATTTTCGACTCTTGTTTTGAAATTTTGAGGTGTATAGTTTATGTTGATGAGTTCTGAATTCGGTTCTTGTTTGTTTATCTTGTTGATCCTATAGTTTCAAAGTTTAGTGCTGGAATTAGTTGGCAAACGAAAGTCTCTGATCCCATTTATGATTTAAGAAGTGGTTGCTTTCCTATTGTTACTGTTTTGTTGCCTTTCTTCCCAGTTTTGGTTTTAGGTATTTGTATATGATTATGCTTTATTTACTATCATCAAAACTACATGAAATGCTACCTGCCAAAAAGATGATGAAATCAGCATATATTGTTGAACATGGGTTGACTAGTTAATGTGAAAGCAAGCGAAGGCAATCCAACATTAGTTCAAGTTGTATTGGGTAAGGGTTGTTTTGGGTTCAGAATTGAGCTCACTTGCAACTTCTAAAGGTTTGTTTGTATCTGCCTTTATTTTATAAATTATGATTAAAAAATTATTTATAAGTCATTCTAACAAGCTCTTGTGTGCTTAAAATCCAATTGGATTATGCTCTTCAGAGCCCAGCATAAAATGGATCCCTTTGAAGTTTGTATTGTTCTGCTTTCAAATTTCTTCTTGTTTGTTCCTGAAGTCGACGAGCCGGCTTTTATTTGATTCACTTTATGTTACAATTAGGTTTTTATGTTTAGATGCATAGAAATATTAAAGTAACAGAAGTTACCGTGCATGGCAATCTAGTATGAACTCTTTCATTCATTCTCGCTTTTTTTCCGGTGCATACTTTTATGTAAAGGTCGTCAAATAGCATTGATGTCTTTAACTTTTTACCTCTTTATATTTGTTTTTTTAGGAAAAAATATATTATATTTCCGGTTCAAAATATAAGATAAGCTTTATCTATTTACGTTTATCAAAAAGTTAGTTAAAATCAGTGTAAAATAATAAATATGTAAGGCATATATTTTTTTTTGGGGAAGTTGCAAAAAAAAAAACCTTAGAATTATAAAAACGCAGAGAGAGACCCTTGACAACTTCATTTTGGGTTTTGACAACTTGATAACATATTATTATTGTCAAAAGCTATAGTGAAGTTATCAATGGTCCTTATCTACGTTTTTGCAATTCTAAGGTCTTTTTTTATAATTTTTTTCCTCAAATATGTCCTTATTAATAAAGAGAATGAATAAAAGATGCAATAAATGAATCAAACATAAAAGAGAATAGGAAAAATTGCAAATAAAGACCCCCCAATATATAAAATGGCAATCAGGGACCCTGAATTTGAGAAATTGCTCACAAGGACCCGGTCCCAATTTGCAATTATGAAATTATGGCCAAATTACCAAAATACCCCTCTTTAATTTTTTTTTTAAAAGAACACCACTTCCTCGCCGAAATCCGGCCGTCGGCGCCGGAGCTCCAATGCCAGCGGCCGAATTCCGGCCATTGCCGGCGGCCTTTCTTTGTTTTTTTTTTGAAACTGTTTTTTTTTTAAATAGGGGGGAAGTGAGGTTGGGGGGATTTGATCCCCCAACCTAATGCTTCCCAAAATTAGGAATGACCATCAAGCCAACAAATTTTTGCTAACATTACAATACAAAAAAAAATAAGTTAACTCATTTATTCTTGTTCCAGGTGATAACAACAATACATTTAGAAATAATAAATTCTGATTGTAAAATAACACGTCTGGAATGAAAATTTAATAATATGTTTTTTTTATAACAACAAATTTTGTTGCAGGTGATAACAACAATACATTTGAAAATAACAAGTTCTGATTATAAAATAACAAGTCTGGGATTAAAATTTAACAACACGTTTTTTTTATAACAACACACTTTGTTTCAGGTGATAACAACAATACATTTGGAAATAACAAGTTCTGATTATAAAATAACTAGTTTGGAATTAAAATTTAACAGCACCTTTTTTTCATATAGCAACACATTTTATTCTAAGTGATAACAACAATACATTTGAAAATAACAAGTTCTGATTATAAAATAAGAAATCTGGAATTAAAATTTAACAACACGTTTTTTTATAACAATTAATTGTTTTATACTTTTGAAAAATAAATTATTTATAACTTATAAAAAGTATTTTTAATCTATTTAATTTGCTAAAAAAATAATTTTTATCTCCAATTTATAATCAGAAGTTGAAGTGTAATTTATTATAGATTAAAAATACTTTTTTATTGTTCAAATTTATAAATAAAATTTAGGGAAAATGACAACACACTTTTTTAATTTTTTTAAAAATTTTTTTAATCTATATACCTATACAACTCATTATAAATCAAACTACTTCTTATAAATTATAAATAGTACAATTTATTGTAGATTAAAAATACTTTTTGATTGCTTAAATTTATAAATGAAATTTATCTCTAATTTATAATTAAAAATACTATTTTATTCTTTAAATATAAAAAATATTTTTAATATTTAAAGAATGAAATAATAAATTATACTATAATATTTAAATACTTAATAATAAATTTTAATATTTAAAGAATGAAATAATATAAAAATTTATACTATGATTTATAGATTAAAAATACTTAATTATAAATGCTTTATAATTTATAAGAAATAGTTTGATTTATAATGAGTTGTATAGATATATAGATTAAAAAGTAATTTTTTAGAAAAAATAAATATATTAAAAATATTTTTATAAGTTATAAATAATTTATTTTCCAAAATCATAATATAAATAATTTTCTAAAAAAACGTGTTGTTAAATTTTAATTCCAGACTTGTTATTTTATAATCAGAACTTGTTATTTCCAAATGTATTGTTGTTATCACATGAAATAGAGTGTGCTGTTATAAAAAAACGTGTTGTTAAATTTTAATTCCAGACTTGTTATTTTATAATCAGAACTTGTTATTTCCAAATGTATTGTTGTTATCACCTGAAATAGAGTGTGCTGTTATAAAAAAACGTGTTGTTAAATTTTAATCCCAGACTTGTTATTTTATAATCAGAACTTGTTATTTTTAAATGTATTGTTGTTATCACCTGCAACAAAATTTGTTGTTATAAAAAAAACATATTGTTAAATTTTCATTCCAGACGTGTTATTTTACAATAAAAACTTGTTATTTCTAAATGTATTGTTATTATCACCTGGAACAAGAATAAATGAGTTAACTTATTTTTTTTTGTATTATAATGTTAGCAAAAATTTGTTGGCTCGATAGTCATTCCTAATTTTGGAAAGCATTAGGTTGGGAGATCAAATCCCCCTAACCTCACTTCCCCCCTATTTAAAAAAAACAGTTTCAAAAAAAAAAAACAAAGGAAGGCTGCTGGCAATGGCCGGAATTCGGCCGCCGGCATCGGAGCTCCGGCGCCGACAGTCGAATTCCTGCGAGGCAGTGGTGTTCTTTAAAAAAAAAAAAAATAAAGAGGGGTATTTTGATAATTTGGCCATGATTTCATAATTGTAAATTGGGACCGGGTCCTTGTGAGCAATTTCTCAAATTCAGGGTCCCTAATTGTCATTTTATATATTGGGGGTCTTTATTTGCAATTTTCCCAAGAGAATACATGGAGTAAAATTGAAAAAAAAAAACTTATTAAATGCTTAGACAAAAGTAAATGTTATCTTATACTCCCTCCAGTCTTAAGCTTCAAATTTGAGAAAAAGTGTAGTCCATTTTAGAAGCTTCAATTTGGGATTTGTCTTAATATTTAATACATTTTTTTTTATTTTTGCCCTTAATTATTTATTCTCTCTCCTTTATTATACTTTCTCTTATCACATTTCCCCACATATTCTTTTTCATCTTTTTTTTATTTATTATAAGGGCATATTTGGAAACAAAATTATATTTCTAACCTATTTATCATTTCTAACTAATTTTAACTAGCAGTTCGTTATCCATGAATTAGTTATTTAAAATTTATAATAAGGACCGAAGGAAGTTAAAAAAAAAAAACTAAGCCCCTCCAATAAAGTTTAACTTATATTTTGAACAAGAGAGAGTAGTTCTCAAGAAGAATTTTAATTAAATTCGATTAAAATATCAAAATTCAAATTAAGGCCTACATTTTTAACAAAATCCTAATTAGGTCAAGAGGCTTTATTAGATATTTTTGAATGTTGTTAAAAGACTAGAGTGTCCTTTTATAATTTAAAATAATATCATTTTGAAAAAAAATTAAACCATGAAAACTTGACATTATATAGTATTTATTTATAAAAAAAATGTTTTACATAAGAAAATTTGGAAATACCAAGATTAAAAAATTGATAATGCATAATATAATATTTTATACTAACCTCTTGTTTGGATGGAGAGGGGAGAAAAAAAGAGAGAAAAGAAAACTAGAAAAGAAAATGAAAAGAGAAATTTTTTCTCCCCTATTTGGTTAGGGAAGGAAGAGTGGGAGGAAAGAAAAGTTTAGAAGAAAAAGAAGTGTTGGACCCAACTTACTTTCCTCCCAACCTTTCTCTTCACATATAAAGAAAAAAAATGAAAACTCATTTTCTTGTACTTGCCCTTAGTCTCCCTTGTGTGTTTTTTTTTATTCTGAATATTTTCACACGTAAACTCTTAAATCTAGCCGTGTCTTCCATCTCCTCCTCAACTGCACTCAAAATTGTTCTTCTGTTCATCCAAACGAAGCTCCTCTCTTGTGGCATCTCTAATCTATGCATTCAAACCTTGTGTTATCATCAAACTTTCTTTGTTCAAGTGTGTTTCCTTCTTTTGCTTTGTGCTTTTTTTCTTTTTTGGTTTTGGATGCTAAGATGTAGATGAAATTCAGGGTATTGCTACTGGTTTGCTATTTCTAAAATTTTTTGAGGTTCTTCTATTGCATGCTTGCCATAACTTTCAAGGGAGCTATAATATATTGATAAGAAATAGATGGGAACATAGACCTTTTTTTTGGTAGTGAGAACATAGACTTTTTACTTACCTGATTCTAACACCATTAAATTAATAATTTTTTGAAGGAAATTTTTTCTTATAGTTAAAAAATCAAAATCTTAATGTATTAGTAGATTTCAGCATCAAATTTGTTATTTCTTTCTTAAGTGCTTTGCTATATTTGCCATATAGATGTTCTCATCATGTTATATATTATAATCTCATTACTAGAATTCATACTAATAATTAATACGAACTTGTATTATGAATCTAAATAATTTTTTCAGCATTTGATGGAACGGATAAAGTAATA